CAATGGCCATGTTTCACAGCCATACAGTAGAACAGAGCGGACTGCTGTGCAGTACACGCGACCCTTAATAGACAAACGAATATCACGGCGGCGCCATAGGTGGCGCAAATTGGCAAAAGCCAATCGAGCCTTTTGTATCCGTGCAGAAATCTCATCGGCAACTAACCCACCGGGTTGATCCTACTTCCCAGGTAAGTGAAGTGGTCAACACACTCAACCACTTCACTCTCTATTGTTAACCGCGGTACCGCTGAAGACCAGTCCTGGAGCAAAAATTTGCATTTGGGTGGTGAAAATCGCATCCCAAACATTCTCAAATTCCCACTCAAAGTGTTCAGAAGACTCTGCATCTTGTCAGCGTCTTCACCTAACAGGACTATGTCATCTGCATATTCTAGATCTAAGGAAAATTCACCTGTGATCCGGTCAACGTCTTTGTAATTAGGTGACGAGAGGGAAACCTCCATAAGAATATCTATGATAAAATTAAATAAGAATGGGGATAGTGGGCATCCTTGACGGACACCACTTGATGAGTATAGCTCCCTGGACAACTCACCATAGGCTCTAACATGCCCACAAGTGTTCGAGTAGAGAGCTTTCAATAAGGTGATGTACTTACTAGGCACGCCTTTCAGTGACAGACACTGCCATAAGACTTCTCGATCAACGGAGTCAAATGCCGCCTTCAGGTCGAGAAATACAGCTATTGTCGGGCGTCTGTAAGCATGCCTATGTTCCAGGACCTGGCGCAGTGTGAATATTTGGTCGATACATCCACGGCCAGGTCTAAAGCCTGCCTGGTTTTCTCGGGCTTGCTGTTCCCGAGCTCCACTCAGGCGTCGGAGAATTATAGAACTTAGGATCTTAGACACTATGTTTGTCAGGCTGATTCCTCTGTGGTTATCACAAGAGGACTTCTCGCCTTTCTTGAAGACTGGGATGATGAGTGACTTAGACCAGTCGGAGGGGATCGTATTTGATTCCCATATACTGGCTAACACTTCCGTTAGCCTGACTAAGAGAACTCTACCACCATTCTTGTATACCTCAGCAGGTAGTCCGTCTGGTCCTGCTGCCCTTTCCCGTTTCAGGCTACCTACCGCTTTCTCAACTTCTTCTAGTGTTGGGGGACCTGTCTCTATGTCCCATTCAGGGTCCGACTGGATAGCGGGCAGCGCAATGGTGGCTGGAGGCCAGTTAAACTGTTCCTCAAAGTGTTCTGCCCATCGTCCCAGTCGCCTTCCCTGCGAGTGAATCGCCGATCCGTCCTTCTCCGCTATAACCTCACTAACTGTTGTTGACCATTTCCCCCCAGTCTCCTTAATAAGTCTAAATAACTGTCTACTGTTACCGATCGCCGCTGCCTTTTCCATCTCTTTAGCCTTTGCTGCCCACCACTGTTCACGATCGTTGCGCAGACTTTTCGTCAGTTTATTTTTAAGTTGCGCTCGCTCTTCATTGTACTCAGAGCCTGCAGGGATGCATTCACGTGCATCCATTAGTTTGGAAGAAGCTGCTGATATCCACTGGCTCTTTTTAGCAGCATTTAGAGGACTACTCGTTCACTATTTGGTTGTCTTAACGCTGGATAGGAAAAACCCATTGAGGCGACACTGGAAGACAGCAGAACAGAGAAGTGTGCTAACCTTTTTTAACCGCATCTTCCTACCGGGAAGGCCGCCGTCAGCATAGTACTGGTGGCCACCCACGGGAAGCACCTTACTACTGTTACACCCCAGCCATTAGGAAGAATTCACTCTCGTACCCCTATCATAGCGTGGGAATTCACACCATATCGGTAACTGGTTCTCGCCTTACTATTATCCAACAGACCTTAAGCAAACAGGCGTCGTAGCCAGTGTGGCTCGGGTCATTATGATAAGCAAGCCTAACCACCACATCAACATATCAGCTATCGGTTGGGACGTTTGGTGGAATCACTGTGATCTATGTCGAGGTAAGTTGAGGCGTACAAGGCATGTTCATCCACGAAGTTGTGCGCCTTCACCAACTGAGGTGGTTTCAGTATGTTTCGCATACTGACTCACCGCCTACCTTGACGTGCAATCTTAGCTGAAGTAAGATTGGTTTGGAAGAAGACTCAGGATGGTCAGACCAAAACAGGACGCCAGTTCATAAAGTCTCTGACTATTGGTCTGAGATGCGAGTATGTGTAAGCTACCTTACATTTTTCGAAATCCCCCTCCTCCCTTACAGTAATTTAATTTAGCATCACTTTCCATCCACTTGTTCTTTGCATGAGGCTGTAAAGTGTGGTGACTTGAACCAATGCACTTCTGTACGTTGATTTTGTCTGTCTTACTGTGTGAATGAATTTCACAGAGTTGCCAAACATGAATGGGAGTTCCAGCAAAATAGAATTCATTATTAACTAGGATCTGTTTGCTTGGTTGTGTGTGAAGCCTCAACACTTGTAGGTTACTGATACTAAACAATGTTACTTTCTGTTGCAGTGGATATTTTTGTGATTTAATCCTCAGTAATCAATTGTCATTATTCACATACTATAGTCCTTTTCAGTGTGTTAATGATTTTAGGCTTCTACTTTCATTTTCTGCCTGGGTCTGTACCTACTTGCAGTTTAATGGTAACGAGTGAAGTGGTGGAATATATCGACCACTTCACTTTGGGAGTCGCGTCAAATAGAGCGGGATGGATGCTGACAAAATCTCAGCTTAGCTAGAGAAAGGTCCGTTCGGTATTTGTCAACTTGCGTCATGTGTGGTGCCAACTGGCAAGATATCCGACCATGCGTCAATCACAGGAAGAGTAGACTGCACTGAAGTCCTTTCCTTTCTGTCATACGACGAAATCAACGTAGAACCCCGCACACAGGTGCCTCACTTCACAGTAGCATATAAAAAATAAGGGGATAAAAAGAGTGATATAAAAAAAGACAAGGTAGTGTGAAAGAGTAAGCAACCTAAAGATGAAGGTTAGTACGATTATTCAAGCGTTAAAAGATATCTAGGAGTAAATATATCTGCGGCATTGTGACCGATTCTCAACCATGTCATCAATAATCCTCAACCAGAGCCCTTTCGTCTCGGAGACCTCAGTCTATATCTCGAAACATGGCTCAGACCAATAGTCAGAGACTTCATTGAGTGGTGCCAGGTTTTGATCTGGTCACCCTGAACCCTCTTTCAGTTTAATCCAACGGCTGTAACGTGGTCGTTAAAAGTAGAAGACACGAAGCGATTACTGGGTTTTGATCACAGGTGTCTTCGTAGTATTGCTTGCGTTTGGTGGAATTACCATTTGAACAATGTCGAGGCCAGACGAAGGGTGCTAGGCAAAACAGGCAAGTGGATTGACGAAGTAGCGAACCTTCGTCAGCTCAGATAGCTTGGACGCGTGTTGCGCATGCCCAGTTGGTTTAGGTTGGAAGAGGGTTCAGGGTGGCCAGAGCAAGACATGGCACCAGTCGAAGTCTCTGAATGTTAGTCTGATTGGTGTGAACAGATGTAGACTGCCTGAAAGAAATCAGTGGTTGAGGACTCTTGATAATATTGTTGGAGATCGGTCACAATGCTGCAGATGTATTCACTCTTCAACGGCTTCTAAAGTTTGAATATTCACACTAACCTTTATATTCAGATTGCTTATTTTTTTCGCACTACGTTATCTACTTTGATACCACTTTTTCTGTTCACTTATTCTTTGTATGCTACTTTGCAGTGTGCCTACTTGAACCGGTGCTTTTGTGTGGGGGTTCTATGTTGATTTTGTCTCTGTGTGCCTGAGTGACCCATGCATTCTATTGCATAACTGCTTATGACTAGTCAGTTAATCAGTGAATGCTACATTCATAATTTAGTAGTAAATTCTGTTAGCAACGGCGTGGTCCACAACGGGGAAGCATTATGGAGCGTGTAATTTCGTCTGAACCTTCCCTACATTCTTCGAAAGATTCAGAGAGATCTGTACCGGGAATATTCGGAAGGGCAATAGGAATTATGGGGAAAGAAATCTCACAGGTAGTGAAACTGTTCTTTCGACAGTTCCAATCAGTTTGTCCTGTGTTCGAACTCCTCTCCACACGCTTTGACCTTGTTAACCAGATAGTATCATAGACCCCACGAGTGTAGCTCACACCCCAGTACGTGTGTAACGACCAGCTGTTGGTAGGTTTTCGCCTAGCCTGTAAGTACCTCATTGCAGGGGCGTGCGTAGGAGAATGTGAGTTTAGCGGTGACCACCAGAATCTGGAAGAGGAAAACGTGAGCTGACAACCTGTCAAGCTCACATGATGTACTTACACTTAGTTATAAAAGACAAACGGTATATAATTCACAAGCATATGAGGCAGTCTAGAAACTGAATCTAGCATGTGGATAATTAGGGTTTCAAATGCGTTACACATAAACATGTACCGCCCTGAATTATATATTATATCATACGTCATAAGTAAATGGGATTTCGTTCTGACGCTTGAGTCTTGTGTCAAGTTAAATTCAATTAGACGATATCCTTCTAGAGTCCATGTTCGAGATAATATCTATCTGTCTGTATCTCAACACCTAATTTTTTTCTTTTATGAGTGATGAATACAAAACTGCGTTAATATTCATCATGAACTGACATCAGTAAGGACGGTTACTCAACAAGTGCATCGGATGGAGGTCGCACTATATTGTGAACTGAAAGAAGTAGGAAATGTGAACCATTAGGTGCCAACCCATTGGCTCACCGGTGACGTGCTGGCTGCGGAGCCTGAAGGTCCTGGGTGCGCACTTTTGAGGAGTCCCGCACTAGGACGAAACGGCTGCTGTCCAGTCGTCCCGGGTTTTCAGGTTTCTCCAACTGATGTCAGTCCATGATGAATATGGACCTGAAATCAATAAGTGAATCCCCACAAACCTCCAAATTGAACACTGCATTATCTATGTAGATAGTACTTAACGTTTTTAAAACGTGTTTTGTTTGTTTTTTGTCCTGAATTAACTTATTTTCCAATGCCTAATCTATTCAAGTCCTCAAAATATGATAGCTCAATCTCAGTCGGGCACGGGAAAAACAGCAACGTTTTTGCTCGCAATGCTGTCACGTGTCAACAAAGATGTACATTACTGTCAGTGTCTTTGTATGGCTCCTACACGTGAGTTGGCCTTACAGATAGAAGCAGTCGGTCGACAAATGGCACAGTTTATGAATGGAGTATCTTTTGCAACAGCGGTTCGCTCTGCAGTTGGTAAGATAACATTTTTTGTCTGTTATGTTACACTTCATATCATTTAAATTAGAAGTTGTTTTGGTTTTTGAGTCCATTTTTTTTTTACTGTACTCATTTAGTGAAATCATTCAGAGCAATGATTAAGTGACTTCTTGGTTTCATTGTGTCTATCGGAAACTTGTCGGAGTGAAGCGTCTTTCAAAAGTATAGAACACAGCTATTTTATGTACTAGGGAGGCTTTTCGACATGACGTTCTGTTCATACACTAGAACTTAGACACATTTCAAAACTTATTCCCTTCACTCCATCCTTTCCTATGAGTACGAAGGTCGAATCTCAATAGGAAAAATACCACTCACTAGGGTACAGATACATTCAGATTGGACGAAATGCGCTCGTCCTAGATCGCACTGCTACCCACAACCAAGTCATTACTACTAAAAAACTGTATACTGGATCCCTATTAAAAGTTGAGTGTACTAAGCAGCCGTTTGCTTCGTTCTAAGTGGTGGTAAAAACATGGTCATTAAAAGTAGAGGATATGAGAAGGCGTCATGCGTTCGACTGCCACTGCCTTCACAGAAGAGACTGAGTGTTGTGGTGTAATCATGTCAGGAATGCAAAAGTCAGACAGAGAGTTTTACATGGGAGACATAAGTCAGCTGATGAGGTTGTGAAGCTTTAAAGACTCAAATGGCTGAGACATGTGTTATGCATGCCTAGTCACTATCTGACCACTTGCAATGTTAGTCGAAGTAGGTTCAGGCTGGAAAAAGGTTAGAGGTTACCAGACGAAGTACGGCATCAGTTAATGATGTCTCTAACTTTGAGTTTAAGCTAACAAACCTAAAAGGCTTGTTGTTTGTAAAATTCTTTGATCAAAGAACAGGCTAATAAGCCTACACAGCTTAAGTTAACAGTTAGAGACATCATGAACTGATGCGTACTTCGTCTAGGGATCCAGTATACAGTTTTTAGTAGTGATGACTTGGTTGTGGGTAGCAGTGCGATCTAGGACGAGCGCATTTCGTCCAATTTGAATGTATCTGTACCCTAGTGAGTGGTGTTTGTCCGATTGAGATTTAGACCCGTACCCATAGCTTCGAACGCCAAAGTGTAATTCACCAGTCCATCGAGGCACGACTGCTACCCGTTATACAATGCGTATTAGTTATTATTATTTGTTGATCCTTGTAATATGGTTTAAATTAGCCTGTTGTTTATCCTAATCAAAAGTAAGACTCACAATTTTCTCTTTGTTGGTTACATAATACAAGGGGTTGATAAGCATTTTCACTCAACTCGTAGTATCCTTCACTTTTTTATGTCAGTAACTCATGATTTTATCCTACTATAAAAATCTATTTTAGTCAATGTTGACACTGATCGATATGTAACTGATCAAATTGTCATTGGTACTCCGGGTACAATTGCGAGCTGGTTTCGTGGGACTGGGAATTACCGTATTGATCCGTCTAAGATTGTTATGTTCGTACTGGATGAAGCTGACATTATGATTGAAGAAGAAGGCTTTCTGAATATATGCATGCGGGTGAAAAGGTGAGTCGCTGATTCTTGTTACTATGTGTCATATCAGTACATGAAGACAGAAGGCGACAAAACGAAGGATAAATGAGAGGAGATAACTTAATCACTAGCTGATGAAAGCCATAGAATGAGACTATGTCTTACAGTTCCCTATAGTAAGGCACTGCGAATCCCAGCTCAGTAAACTCAACCCTTAGTAGACAATGACATGTTTCAAACCATGTCTCAAAGTTTTAGAGTTATCTTGATATGACTATGGGCAATAAATTATGTCCGAAACGTAATCCAGTAAATACTGTCCCTTCTCTATGTGACACATGTAATAAATCAACAAAAATAGAATTACAATCAACCACAGTGCCAGTTTTTGCTCTAATATTAGTGAATCTCATCTTACCCATGGTTCGCATAAAACCCTATTAGTAACCACTAAATAATCGCTGTGAGTACGAAATACTTATTTCGTTTTCCCCACCTGTACCAAATTATCAGAAGGGCAGAATACTTATACTTATATCGTGTCGATAATATACTCTGCCTTGCGAATATTTACGACACATTCACTGAAGGCGGTAACACATAGTACATGTTTGATTTAACGGGGTTTGTGAGGAGTATCTCCTATGTGTGTAGTGGAACCATTGAGTGAGCGGTGTTCGAGGTAAGCTAAAACCGCTGATTGAAATCCCAACTTTTTTCAAGCTAATGAGTTTCAGTTCCGCTGCTGAAAGCATTGAATACAAGGGGATGACTCATTGTATTCAGCTCTAAAAGATCTTTTTCCTTCCAATTTGTTTTGCAACTGTTTCTCACTTTTGAATGATGTTTCAGGTTCTCTACGAGGTTTGAATAGCTACTGTTTTTCATAATAAAAAGACGTTTTGAAGTATGAAGTGGTTGGTCGCCTAACTTATGTTTCGTCGTCCTGACTCATTGACTACTATAGTTATGCAAAAACTGACAGCCAAGCCAGTTGATGAGGTTATGAACCGTCAGTGACTGTGGTGGCTTGGACATGTGTTGTTCACGCTGATCCAGCGCCTATCTGCCATGCTAAGAGAAGTGGGACTAGGTTGGAAGAGGGTTCAAGGTGGCCAGAATAATGCGTGGCACCATGAAGTCCCTGACTGTTGATCTGATCCGTGTAGAGATGTAGACTACTTGGTTGAGTTCGCCGAGATGACAGGAATCAGTGGTTGAGGACTCTCGTTACCATGGTTTAAAATTGGTCACAATAGTGCAAATGTATTCACCCCGTGACGTCTTCCAAAGCTTGAATATTCGCACTTAACCTTCATCTTCAGATTGCTAATTCTCTCATACAACTTTGTCTACTTTCATATCACTCTTTTTTATCCACCTGTTCTTTGTGTACTGCTGTGAAGCGTGGCAACTTGCAGTGATCCACTTGTGTGCAAAGTTCTGCGTTGATATTGCCTATCTGTCTGTCTGACTATTCGTGTCTGCCTTGCATACTGCTGCGAAATGTGGCACAATTCACTTCTGTGCACTGAGGTTCGTGAGTAGTAGTCCACAACAAAACCGGAATAAAAGCAAGATGCATTCAGCAACCAGGTGCACATTTTTGTTGCAGTAGGCCATAATCCGCACCTAATGCTTTAGGGGCTGGCTAGTGATACTTACCCGCTGTCAAGAACTCAGTTGATGGGGCGGGGTTCGAACCCACGACCCACTGGTCGGAAGTCGAATGCTCTTAGGCCGTTTTCCAAAAACTCACAGGTTTGTATCTCAAATAATGTAACAAATTGAAAAAATTGACATTGGAAAAACTAACATAGTTTGTATTGCACCACTGTTATGTATGATAATCTAACTAACTATTCATACACTCGTTTTATTCACTTTTGTCATTTTCAATTTCACCTCCGACTTGTTCAAAGGAAGCTACTTAGAACCTGTCAAATCCTGTTGTTCTCAGCTACATACGAGATTCTATCATTGATTTTGCTCATGAATTTGTTCCCAATCCAATAGAGTTTCGTGTAAAGCGTACTCAACTACCTTTAAAGAATATAAAGCAATTTTATATGTGCTTCAGTGATTGGATCGAAAAATATCAGGCATTGAAAGATATTTATGGTGGATTTGAAGTTGGTCAGGCGATATATTCTGTGCATGAGTTGCATATTTATTTATTGATTTGGTTATACTTATGCCTAACACCCCCTACGTTGAAGTGTCATGCTAGGTGAAGTTGGATTAGGTTGGTTGAGGGCTCAGGGTGGTCAGATCAGACCTGGCACCACTCGACAAAGTCCTGACTGTTGGTCTGAGCCATGTTTCGAGATCTAGACTGAGTCCGAGACGAAAGGGCTCTGGTTGAGGATCGGTCACAATGCCGCAGATATATTCACTCCTAGATGTCTTTTAACGTTTGAATATTCACATTAACCTTTATCTCCAGATTGTTTGTTCTCTACTACGACGAAACTTTGTTTATTTTGATATCACTATCTATCCACCTGTTCTTTGTATATTACTGTATAGTGTGGGCGACTTGTAGTGATGCACTTGTGTGCGAAATTCCACGTCGGTTTTTGTTTGTCTTTCTGTCTTGTTTGTTCAAATTCCACTAAGATATATTTCAGCGAGGGAAATTTCTCTTGTGTGACGATTCATTTTAAAAGCTGTACAGTCGTATATATATATGAGTTGACGTACGGCAGAAATCGAATACGTATGTTGATTGGTCAGCTGTAGGACGAAATTGTCCAATGAGATTTTTCCTACCGCATAGTAATATGAAACAAAGATAGAAATCCAAATTTCTACCTTGGTGGCTGATGACATAGAATGTTGACTTCGATTTAGGCCGCTTCCTATCACACCCTACAGCTCTCCGTTCATTACTCCTATCCAAAAGGATTTGTCGTATCTGTCTACAATATTTCAATTTATCCATTCGCTTCATACTTATTTCCATATCTCTTTTTTAGTTCACCTAAAATACTATTGATTCTGTTTCTGTACTTTTCACATCTTTCAGAAATAGAAATTCCCCCGTTGACTGCTGGAGATTTGAATCGAATCTGAGTTGTTATTGTTAACTCCAACTGTTTTCTTTTCCAAAATTAAATTATTTTATTACTACTATTTTTGCCTTTTATGGTTTGTATGCAACCTAGGTATGCTATCTGCCTACTTTGTATTCTGTTGTCTTTGTTCTCTGTTGCTTCACAATGTTCTTTATCTTTAGCCGACGATTTCGTCTGTTCCACATCTTCAACATAATAATTATTGTAATGATTGCATAATATTCTGACTGCCTAATCAACTTCTCGTTGAATGGATTAAGTCATGGTCATATGATTGATGTTGTTTCTTTCTACTGAGGTCGATATATATGCGTTATGTTGTTTCTTGTATTATCCTATCGTTTATTGAACCAATTCCATCTATCTCCATTCTCATATGGGCTCCTGCACGAAAGCCCCAATATTTCCTGTTGCTTCAATTTTATAATAATGATGGATAATGGTTAGCAGTGGAACCCAGGATGCACGTTTCGTCCTCTTTGGAACTCGTCAGTTGAATATATTTGCCTCTCAGTGGGTGGTGTTTCTTAATTGTTGCGATGGTGTTTGTTGTTTTGGTAAACACCTGATTAAAATGCACTTGAGGAATAAAGAATTATGACTTTATTAGCTAATCCGTGACCACTCATCGCCTCCTATGGATTTAATCCACCGAATCCCAAGATGATTGTGCAAAGTATTGTTTGAAGTGCTATTAAGTATTCAGTTTGTTGGAAGCAGTGTACTCCATATATGTATTAAAGTGGTGAGTCCCAAATAGGATGGAATGCACGTCCTGGATTCCACTGCTAGACACCATCCATCGATAATATCGGAATTAAAACAAGAGACAATATGGAGGCATCCATGCAGGAGCTCATGTGCCAGTATAGACCGATCACTTCGGTTCAATCAGCAATGAGATAATACAAGCAGCATCACATTAGAATTTAACTTGGCTTGCTACTACACCTTTTGATTACTCTTCAACACTCATGAACATTTTGATTATTTTAAGATGAAGATGATATTTCAATTTTCTGGTGTTTTACCTTACTTATTGCCATGCGTAAATAACTGCTTTCACACAAGAAAAAAGCGTACATTCTCATTAAAAAAATTGTATGAAAATGCGGTTGTACAGCTTCATTAATGAAATCGCCGAAAAAAGCGTCTTCGCTGAACCACTTGTTTTCATTTGCGTAGAAATCTGATCAACAGAGCTGAACATCTTTTTGCAATGAAAGAGGATAACAAGGAAGAGTTAAAGTCCGTTTGTTGTACGCTGGAAGCAAAATATTATCCTAAGGATTCGTATAGGCGATTTACTTATCAAGTCAATATATGTTAAACCGAGGAGTGGGAGAACCAATCATGATGATAATAATAATGGTGATAATAATAATGATCATAATAATAATGATGCTGATAATAATAATGGTGATAACGATAATCACGGTAATAATAATGATGATAATAATAAATATGATAATAACAATGATGGTAACAATTATGATGATGATGATAATAATACTGACAATAATGATGGTGCAGATAGTAATAATCATAATAATAATGGTGATGATAATAATGATAATAATCATAAAGATGATAATGATGAAAATGATGATGATAATAATTATGATGACAATGATAATAATAGTGATAATAATGATGATAACGATAATGATGATAATAACGGTGATGATAACAATTATGATGATAATGATAATAATGATGATAATAATAATGACAGTAATGATAATGTGGATAATAACAATGATAATAAGCACCATGATAATGATGACAATAATGATGATGCTAATCATGACCATAAGCATGATGATAATAAAATTGATAATATTGATGATAATGATAATTATGATAATAATAATAACGATGATAATAATGATGATGGTGATGATAATAAATATAGTAATGAGGATAATAATAGTGATGATGAAAATAATAATCATGAGAATAATAATGATGATAATGATAAAAGTGATGATAATGATAGTGATGATAATAACAATGATCATAATGATAATGACGATAGTAATAACGACGGTAATGATCATGTAAATAATAATGATGATAATAATGACGATAGTCATAACGATAATAATAGCGATAACGATATTAATTATCATGATGATGATGACGATGATGATAATAATAAAGGTAGTGATAAGAACGATAATAATAATGACAATAATCATGTAATAATAGTGACGATAATAATGATGATAGTAATGCTGATAATAATAATGATGATCATAATAATCATGATGATGATAATAATAATGACAATGGTGGTGATGCAGTTCTTAATAATGATGATAATCATGATGATAATGACAATCATAATAATAGTGATGATAATAATAATCACGATATTAATCATGTTGATAATGGTGAGAATCATGATAAAAAATAATAACAGTGATATTTATGATGACGATTGTAATAGTGATGATGATGAGAATGATAATAAAAATAATGATAATGATGGTCATAACAATGATGAAGTTAATAAGAAAAGATGATAATAGTGATGATAATAATAATGGTGATGACATTAATAGTGACGACAGTAAGTATGACGTCAATAGTAATGATGATAATAATAATCATGATAATATCGATGATAATGAAAATTAGGACAAAAATAATAATAATAATGGTGATAATAATAGTAATGTGATGATAGTAATGGTAATGATGATCATAATATTATTGATAATAATATTGACGACAAAAATGATGATAATAATGAAAATGATGATGATGATAACGATAATGATGACTATAATAATGATAATAGTGATGAAGATAATAATAATGAAGAGAATGATAATATTGATAATAATAATGGTGATAATCATGCCCATAATAATCGCGAAAATAAGAATGATAATAATAATGATGATAAGTATGATAATAATGGTGATGAAAATAGTAATGGGTATAATGATGATAGTCATCATCTTGATAATAATAATGAAGATAATGATAAGGACATTAGTCATGGTGATAACGATAATCATGATGATAATAATAATGCTGGCAATAACGATGATGTTGATGAGGATGATAATGATAATCACGATGGTAATAATGATAAGAATTATGATGATAATAAAATTGAGGATAACAATAGTGCTGATAATAATGTTGATAATACTATTCATGATAATAATTATAATAATGATGATGATAATATTAATGACGATGATATTGATGAAAAAGTGATAATAATAATGTAGTAATAATCGTCCTGATTAAAATAATGATGATAATAATAATGACAATAATCATGACAGTAATAATGATGATGTGGTATTGATGATGATAATAGTAATGATGATAATAATAATGAAGAGATAATAATGGTGACAATAATGCTGATAATAATATTGACGGTAATATTATTGATGATAATGATGATGATGATAATAGTGATAATAGGGATGATAATAACGGTGATGATAACAATTATGATGATAAAAATAATGGCGATGATAAAAACGATAATAATGCTGATAATTATGGTGATAGTAATAATAGTGTGGATCATAATAATGATGACGATGATGATGGTGTTAATAATAATGATGATAATCATTATTATGATACTAATAAAAATGATAATGTTGATAATAATAATCATGATAGTAATAATGATCACAATAATAATCATAATGATAGTGATTATGATAATAATGATAATAATGGTCAATTAATAATGATGATGATAATAATGTTAATGATATTATTACAATGATGATGATAAAAGTGATGCTGATAATAATGATGATAATAACGATCATAATAATAGTGATGATAATAATAACAATGACACTAATAATGGCGATAATAAAAACGATGATAATTATGCTGATAATTATGATGATAGTAATAATGATGATAATAATGAGGATCATAATAGTGATGATGATGACGACGGTGATGGTGTTAATAATAATGATGATAATCATAGTTATGAGATTACTAAAAATGATAATGTTGATAATGATAATAATAATAACGATGATAGTAATAATGATAATAATAATCACCATATTAATAATGATTATGACAATATTGATAATAATGATGGTGATAATAATGCTGGTAATAATAATGGTCATAATAATAATGATCATAATGATGAGAATCAAAATGATGATAATAATAATGACGATGATTATGATAATAATGATGATAATAATAATAATGATAATAACAATGGTGATATCGATAATGACGAAAATGGCGAAGACGAAAATTTTAATGAGGATAATAACGACGGCGATGATAATCAAAATAATAAAATGGTGATAACAATAATAATAATAATAAAAATAATGATACTGATCATGATGATAATAATAATGTCAGTAATAATGATGGTAAAAATGATGATGATGATAACAGTAAGGTTGATAATGAGTATATTAACAATGATAAAGATAATAATAATGATAATAACAATGATGATATTATTAATGGTGGTAATATTAATTATGAGTATAATATTAATGAAGATTATGATGACGTTGCTGATGATAATGATGATGATCATGATAATAATGATCATAATAATAATGATTGTAATGGTGATGATACAAGTGATGACAATAAAAATGATGATAGTAAGAAAGATTATAATGCTAATAATCACTATAATATTATTTATGATAATAATAATCATGGTATTAATGATGACAATTATGATGATGATAACAATGGAGATAATATAATGATCATAATAATGGAGGTGATAATAGTAATAATCGTATAATAATAGTGATAATAAGAATGATGATCATAATGTTGATATTAATCATGATGGTAATAATAATGAGGATCATAATAATGATGGTAATAATAATACTCCTAAAAATAATGATGATAATAATGATGAGAATTATAATGATGTTAATAATAATGATGACAATTATAAGGATGGTAATAATAATGTTGATAAATTGATGATGACGATGATCATGATGATGACGATAATAATGATGATGAGAAAAATGTTATAATAATAATGACAATAATAATGATCATAGTATGAATGATAATAATAGTGATGATAATAAAAGTGATAATAATGATGACGGTCAGAATAATTATGACGATAATAATAATGATAATAACAGTAATGATGATAATAATACTGATGGTAATATTATTCATAAGAATGATCACAAGAATAATGATGATAATAACAATGATGTTAATAACGATGATATTAATAATGACGACAGTAATAATGATGATAATAGTAGAGATGATAATAATGATGACGATACTAATAATGATGATAATAATGGTGACGATAATAATACTGATGATAGCAAGACGATGATAAAGATGCTGATAATAATAATGATGACAATAATACTGACGATAATGACGATCATCATGATGATGATCTTAATGATAATCATGGTGAAAAAAATGATGATCATAAGAATGATGGTAATAATAATCATGATAAGAATGGTGATAATATTAATGGTGATAATAATAATCATAATAATAATGATTGTGGTAATGATCATAATATTGATGTTAATAATAATGATAATAACCATGATGATAATAATAATGGTGATAATAATGATGCTAATTATAATGATCATAATAATAATGATGATAATGGTCATAATAATAAGCATGATAATAATTCTGATGAGTATAATTATGATGATAATAATGATAATAATAATAATGATGATAAGAGTATTGATGGTATTATATTGATAAGAATGATTATAAGATTGATGATGGTAATGATAATGATGCTAGTAATGATAATAATGGTGATAATCCTAATGATGATGATATTAATGATTATAATGATGAGAATAGTGATGATGATAATGATCATGACAACTTTGATGATAATGATATTACTCATTATATTAGGAATTATGATAATGGTGATGATGATAATAATGATGGTGATAATAATGAGGATAATATTGGTGAAAATAATGATGATGAGAATAATGATTAGAATAACGATATTCATAATGATAATGATGATAATATCAATAGTGATTATAATAATAATGATAATAATGATGATAGTAATGGTATGATGATGATAATAACGATGATAAGAATAATGATGATAATAATGATTATAATAATAATTATGGTAGTAATATTGATAACAATGATGAAAAGAATAATGATGATAATAATAATGATAACGATGATGCTAATACCAATGATGATAATACTGATGACAAAATGAATGATGATCGAAAATATGATAATACAATGATCATAATAATGACAATAATGATCAGCATATTAATAATGATGAAAATAATGATGATGATGAAAATGATGATGATAATAATAGTGATGGTAACAATGATGATGACAATAATGATCAGAATGACGATATTGATAATGATAACGATGATAATAAAAATGATCATAATAATAATCATTATAATAATATTCATAGTAATTGTATGATGATGATGATAATGACGATGATAAGAATAATGCTGATAATAATAATGATGGTAGTAGTATTGATAATAATGACAAGAATAATGATGATAATAGTAATGATGACAATACTAATGATGATGGCAATCACGATAATACAATGATGGTAAAAATAATGATAATAAGAATGATGATAATATTTTACATAAAGATCATGATAATGATAATGTTAATAATCATGAAAATAATAATGATGATAATATTGATGATCATAACAATGTTGGTAAAAATAATGGTGATCATACCACTGATGATATTAATAATCATTATGATAAAATCACGATAATAGTAGTTATAATAATAATAATAATGAGAATATTAATGATAATAATGATGATGATAATAATAATGTTAATAATGATGGTGATAACAATGATGATAATAATGATGCTAATAATAATGACGATAATAATGATTATAAGAATATTAATAATAACAATGATGATAATACTGACGATGATAAAAATAATGATGACAATCGTGATAATCATAATGATGATAATAATAATCATAATAATAACAATGATATTAATCATGATGATAATGATCATAAAAATGGTAGCGATAATAATAATTATAATAATAATGAAGATAATAATGATGGTGATAATGATAATGATAACAATAATGATGATAATAATTATGATGACATTGAAAATGACAAAAATGATGGTAATGATAATGAAGAAAAAAAGAATGGTGATAATCATGATAATAATAATGATGTCCATAGTGGTGACAATAATGATGATAATAATTATGATAATAATGACGATGAAAACAATGATGATAATAATAGTGATGATAATGATGAAAGTACTAACGGTGGTAGTAATTATATGATGATGATAATAAGGATCATAATAATAATGATGATAGTAGTGATGAAAATAATGATAATAATAATGGTGATAATATAGATGATAATGATACTAACCATAATAGTACAAATGATGATAAGAAAAATGATGATAATAACCATGAGAATAATAATTATTACAATAATAAGCATGATACATTTCATGATGATCATAATCAGAATGATAATAATAATGAAAATGCAGATAATAAGGATGATGAGGATGGTCATAATGATAATCATGATAATACAATGATAATAATAATGATGACAATTATAATGATGATAAAAATAATGTTCATAATAATGGCGGTGACAAAGATTATGTTGATGACGACGATGATGATGATGTTGATAAAACAATGATGATGAAAATAATATTGATGATAATAATGATAATAATAAAGATGAAAATAATAATGGTGGTAGTAATAATGGTGATGATAATAATGATGATGATATTAATGATGATGATAATAAGGATGATAATAATAATGATGTTAATAATAAATGATGATAATGATGATAATAATAGTGATCATAACAATAATGATGATAATAATGAATATAATAATAATAATTATTATAGCTGCTACCTTGACGTGGTGGTCGGGCTTGCATATCACAATGACCCAACGAGCTATGCTGGTGGAACGCTTGTTCCCTCGAGGTCCTACCATACCAGAAAGGTCTGTTGGGTAGTGGTTAGACGAAAAGCAGTTTTCCGTTATAGTGTAAATTGCTACACTATGATGGGGGTCTGAGGGCGAAGTCGTACTGCTGCTAGCTGGATGGGGTGTGACAGCAGTAAGGTGTTTCCCTTGGATGACCAGCAGTGCCAAGCTGATGCTGCCTTCTCAGTGGAAGGGGGGGTTAGAAAAGGTCGGCCCCAAAAATAACACACTCCACCACGCCCCACGGTCTGCCGGGCCGGCGGTGTTGGTTCACTTGTCGTTTCCTTTCGACCATCCGGCCCCAAAAATACAAAAATTCAAAATAATCATACTCAAAAGGCTGGGTGTGACAGGCCTCAAGCAGATGTCCGATGGGCTCTGCGGTCACACAAATCTCTTTCAGGTACCTTAAGAAGAAATAGCCTTCCACGGTGTGGGCAGCCGGGAAGTGTCAACCGCCCTCACAACTCTGTCAGCACCCAAGTTTCTTCTGACTGCTATCCTCCTCCTCCATCATTACCTTCTAATCTTCCTTCACGTCTCTTAATTAATGATGCTGCATCATCTTCAATTTCTCCTACCTCTGCAGCCTTCGACAACGATCTGAGTCCACAGAACAGCATCCCTGGTCTCCTTAAACCACGCTCCAAATTACATATTGGAGCCTTCAATGTCCGCACCCTCCGTCAAATTGGCCAACAGGCTTCGTTGGCAAAGACTCTAGCAACTCGGGCATGGATGTGTGCTGTGTTTGTGAGACACGCATACAGGACCCAAGTGTGGTTATTCACCTGACCTCTCCTGACCAATCTGGTGAATCTGCAAAATTCACCCTTCGAGTTTCTGGAGATTCGATAGCTAGCTCTCGTGGTCTTGCAGGTGTAGGTATAGCATTAAGCACCAGGGCAGAAAACTCACTACTAGACTGGATCCCAGTTGATAGTCGCCTCTGCGCTATGAGGCTGAACGGCACAGTGAGAACTAAAAGGAATAGTGAGACTCGCCGTTGTCTCTTTGTAATCTCTGCTTACGCACCCACTGACTGTAGTTCGGATGAAGTGAAGGACGAGTTCTACCATAAACTGTCTAACCTCCTCTCGAAAGCCAAACGTTCGGACGTAGTGGTTGTTGCAGGTGACCTCAACGCACAGGTGGGTAGACTGAGTGAGGCAGAAAGGCACTTAGGTGGCACTTTCGGAATCCCAGCTGAACGTACAGATAACGGTGATCGCCTATTACAACTATGCTCAGATAACCGCCTATTTTTAGCCAGCACAAATTTCAGACATAAAGAAAGGCACTGTCTGACCTGGCGTCCACCGAGCTCGACTCAGCGATGGACACAGATAGACCACATTGCTATTAGTCATCGCTGGAGAGGATCGGTGGAAGACTGCCGCTCCTTCTGGAGTACGTGTTTGGACAGCGATCATGCGTTGGTCCGAGCACGTATATGCCTGCGTCTCAATGGACGTAGAAAAAATTTGGCAACAAAACCACTACGAGTTCTGCTGGACAACGAAAACACCAAAGCCGTGTTCAGTGAGAAGTTGGCTAGGCAGTTATCGGAACAAAAGACTGTCACTCATCCAGAAGAAGCTTGGTGCCATCTTCAGTCTACTGTAAAAGCAGCACTGGAGACTGTAGCCGACTCCAAGATAATGGCTAAAAAGAGCCAGTGGATATCAGCAGCTTCTTCCAAACTAATGGATGCACGTGAATGCATCCCTGCAGGCTCTGAGTACAATGAAGAGCGAGCGCAACTTAAAAATAAACTGACGAAAAGTCTGCGCAACGATCGTGAACAGTGGTGGGCAGCAAAGGCTAAAGAGATGGAAAAGGCAGCGGCGATCGGTAACAGTAGACAGTTATTTAGACTTATTAAGGAGACTGGGGGGAAATGGTCAACAACAGTTAGTGAGGTTATAGCGGAGAAGGACGGATCGGCGATTCACTCGCAGGGAAGGCGACTGGGACGATGGGCAGAACACTTTGAGGAACAGTTTAACTGGCCTCCAGCCACCATTGCGCTGCCCGCTATCCAGTCGGACCCTGAATGGGACATAGAGACAGGTCCCCCAACACTAGAAGAAGTTGAGAAAGCGGTAGGTAGCCTGAAACGGGAAGGGCAGCAGGACCAGACGGACTACCTGCTGAGGTATACAAGAATGGTGGTAGAGTTCTCTTAGTCAGGCTAACGGAAGTGTTAGCCAGTATATGGGAATCAAATACGATCCCCTCCGACTGGTCTAAGTCACTCATCATCCCAGTCTTCAAGAAAGGCGAGAAGTCCTCTTGTGATAACCACAGAGGAATCAGCCTGACAAACATAGTGTCTAAGATCCTAAGTTCTATAATTCTCCGACGCCTGAGTGGAGCTCGGGAACAGCAAGCCCGAGAAAACCAGGCAGGCTTTAGACCTGGCCGTGGATGTATCGACCAAATATTCACACTGCGCCAGGTCCTGGAACATAGGCATGCTTACAGACGCCCGACAATAGCTGTATTTCTCGACCTGAAGGCGGCATTTGACTCCGTTGATCGAGAAGTCTTATGGCAGTGTCTGTCACTGAAAGGCGTGCCTAGTAAGTACATCACCTTATTGAAAGCTCTCTACTCGAACACTTGTGGGCATGTTAGAGCCTATGGTGAGTTGTCCAGGGAGCTATACTCATCAAGTGGTGTCCGTCAAGGATGCCCACTATCCCCATTCTTATTTAATTTTATCATAGATATTCTTATGGAGGTTTCCCTCTCGTCACCTAATTACAAAGACGTTGACCCGATCACAGGTGAATTTTCCTTAGATCTAGAATATGCAGATGACATAGTCCTGTTAGGTGAAGACGCTGACAAGATGCAGAGTCTTCTGAACACTTTGAGTGGGAATTTGAGAATGTTTGGGATGCGATTTTCACCACCCAAATGCAAATTTTTGCTCCAGGACTGGTCTTCAGCGGTACCGCGGTTAACAATAGAGAGTGAAGTGGTTGAGTGTGTTGACCACTTCACTTACCTGGGAAGTAGGATCAACCCGGTGGGTTAGTTGCCGATGAGATTTCTGCACGGATACAAAAGGCTCGATTGGCTTTTGCCAATTTGCGCCACCTATGGCGCCGCCGTGATATTCGTTTGTCTATTAAGGGTCGCGTGTACTGCACAGCAGTCCGCTCTGTTCTACTGTATGGCTGTGAAACATGGCCATTGAAAGTGGAAGAACAAAAAGGGTTCAGGTGTTTGACCACCGTTGCCTTCGTAGTATAGGACGTATTCCGTGGTGTCACCATGTGAGTAATGCAGAAGTTAGGTGTAGAGTTTTAGGGAGAAGAGGTAAGTCAGTCGACGAGGTTGTGAACCTTCATCGACTGAGATGGTTGGGACACGTACTACGTATGCCTAGTCACCGATTGCCTCGTCACACAATGTTGGCTGAGGTGGGTTCAGGCTGGAAAAAGGCCCGAGGTGGCCAGACTAAAACATGGCACCAATGTATGAAGTCTCTGACTGTTGGTTTAAGCCATGTAGGACGATGCAGACTAGGTGGTTGGGGTCCACGGGACAAGAGGAACCAGTGGTTGGAGACCCTAGGTGATATGGCTCAGAACCGAAGTCAGTGGCGCAGATGTATACACACATTATCCTCATCTTAACAACGCTATACCGAATCTCACTATTTTGTCACTCCTCTTTCCTTTCTTCTCGTACTTTATATTTCTTTTGACTGCATTCACTTATCTTCATCCTTCACCTCACTACCTTTTTACTTGATGTGCTGATATGAGGTGTGGCAACTCGGACCGTTACGCAGTAATGCCTGGTCCTATGTTGATAATGATGATGATGATATAATAATTATACTAATAAAAAGATGATAATAAATGTCAAAATATTATTATGATAACAATGATTATGACAATGACGTTGATAATGATTTTAGTACTATTTATGATAATGATGGTAATAATATTGATGATACAAAGGATTATAATAATGATGCTGATAATGATGATTATAATAATATTCGTAATATTGATGATAATAATAATGATGATAATAATAATGACCATCAAAATGGTAATAAAAATGGTGATAATAACAACGATGATAATGATGATGAAAATAATATTCATGGCAATGATTATCATGATGATTATGATGATGGTAATCATAATGTTGATAACAATAATGATAAAAATAATAATGCTAATAATGATCATAATAATAATGGTAATGATAATAATGGTGTTAATAATGATGATAGTGACGATGATAGTAATGTTAATGATCATAACATTGATGATAATAATAATGTTGATGATGATTTTAATGATGATATCAATAATGTTACTAATAATGATCATAATAATAATGACAATAATGATGATATGACAATGATGATAATGATAATAATAATAATAATAATAATAATGATACTAATAATGACGATGATAATAATGATAATAACGATGATAATAATGATGATGAAAATATTAATGATAACATTAATAGTGATAACAATGATAATGATAATAATGTTGATGAAAATAGTGATGATAATAAGGATGATAATAATAATCATAATAATAATAATGATCATAACATAATATAAATTATGTATAAAATATACATATATATAAAATATATACAATATAATATAACGATGAGGATATTAATAATGACAATTATAATAATCATTGAATTTATGATGATAATAATTATGGTGGTGATCATAATGATGTTAATATTATGATTATAATGGTGATGATTATAACGATGTTAATAAAAATGATGATTATAATAATGATGATAATGATAATAGTGAGGATGACAACATTGATGACAATGATGATGATAATAATGCCGACAATAATAATGATGACGATAACACTGATGATGATAATAATAATGATATAAATAATAATGAAGATAATGAGTATGATGTTTTTCATGATGATGAAATAAAAATGATGGTAATAATAATGATTATAATATTAAAGATGATAATAATGATGATAATCTGAATCATGAAAATAATAATGATAATAATCATGATGATAGAAAAATTGATAAAAACGTCGGGAAGAAAAGTGATGCGAATAATGCTGATGATAACAATCATCATGATAAAAATAATCACGATAATAATAATGATGATCATAATAGTGATGATAATGATAATAATAATAACAATAATGATAATATTAATATTAATTATAATGATTATAAAAATGGCGATAGTATCAATGAACATAATATTAATTATAATGATGACCATAATGATTATAATCATGATGATAATAATGACAATAATGATGAAATTAATAATGATGATGATATTGATATTTATAATGATGATAATACTGACAATAATAATGACGACTATATTAATGATTATATTAATAATAATTATGATAATACAGATCATAATAATTTTAATGACAATAATAACGGTGGTAATATAGATCATAATAATAATGATCATCATAAGATTGGTGATACTAATAAGGACGACAATGATGATAATAATAAAGGTGATGATAATAATGATGATAATAATCATGACCATAATAATAATGATGATAGTAATATTCATAATATGGATGACAATGATAATAATTATGATAATAAAAATGAGGATAGTAATAATGACGATAGTAATCATGATGGTAATAATCAGGACAATAACAATGATGATAATAATAATGATTATATTAATAATAATGACAATAATATTGATCTTAATACTGATAATAATGGTGATAATATTAATCAAGATGATAGTGATGATGATAATGATAATCACGAAAATACTGATGATGATAATAATAAAATTCATAATAATAATGATGATAGCAATAATGATGAACATAATAATGATGTATATCATAATCGTGATAATTAAAATGATAATAACAATGAAGATAATATTAATGATAATAATGGTGATCATGATTATGATAATAATACTCATAACAACGACGGTAATAGTAGAGATGATAATAAAAATGATGATAATAATAATATGATAATAATAATCAAAACATTGATAATAGTGGTGATAATAATAATATTGATGATAATAGTAATAATCATAATAATAATGATGATAACAATAATCATGATAACAATGATGAAAATAATCATGAGGATAATAATGATGATAATATTAATGATGATAACAATAATGATAATAATGATAGTAACAGGAATGATGCTAATAACAATGATGATAATAATAATTATGATATTAATGACGATGAAAATGATTACAATAATAATGCTGACAATAATGATAATAATAATAATGGCAATACTAATGGTGACAATAATAATGATCATCACAACAATGGTGATAATAATAATTATGATTACAAGGATAATGTCAGTTATGATGATAACAATGATGATAATAATGATGATCATAATAACGGTCATGATAATAACAATCCTGATAATAATGATCATAATGATATTGATAATAATAATGATGGTAATAATAATGGTCATAATAATAATGATAACCTCGCCTGGTTAACTAGTTCACCAGTTACTAGCCGGTCCTAAGCCCGGTAAAGAGGGAAGGTTGGGGATAGGGCTAGCAACCCTACCCCGTAAAACAAATCTAACCGCTAAAGAAACTTCAAAGCACAAACAAAATATAAAAAATGAAAACAAACTTATTCCTCGCTGGAGTCGGAGAGGCGAAATGACGCCAGTTGGTGAAAGCCTTCGGGAAGCCAATTGGCCGGTGTGTCTTCTCTCCCTCGATGAAAGCGAAAGTAAACGTGGGGATATGGAATGTCCGCACGATGTTTGAACCCAGCAAGGCAGCCCAGATTTCAAACGAGATGAGAAGGTATTACATTGAAGTGCTTGGAATTCGCGAAAGCAGATGGAATGGGAGTGGACTCTCCCAACTGTCAACTGGAGAATCAATAATCTACTCCGATATTGTCACCCAGACGACAACCACGAGCACACTGAGTTTTGGAGTGGCTATCATGATGTCCCCAACAGCATCACAGGCTCTCATGCAGTGGGGACCAATCTCCTCCAGGATCATGGCAGCAAGATTCAGCTCAAAAGGAAGGAAGGTCACAATCATACCATGCTACGCACCTACAAATAATGCAGAGCAAGAGAAGAAGGAGAAATTCTACAGACAACTGCAATCAACACTGGACAAGACCTCAGTTGGTGATATCGAAATTCTAATGGGCGACATGAATGTCAAACTGGGAGGGGACAACACAGGAAGAGAACTAACCATGGGTCCAGAAGCGCTAGGTGAGGTGATGAACGAGAATGGAGAATTGTTTTCAGAATTCTTTGCATTCAACGATTTGGTGATTGGAGGCAGTGTGTTCAAGCACAAGGATATCCACAAAGCAACATGGATTTCACCGGGTGGACACACTACACTAAAAATCAGATTGACTTCATCCAAATCTCAAGAAAGCGGAGACGCAGCCAGCCTACTTGACACAAGGTCAAGAAGAGGAGCAGATGTAGGTTCAGACCACTCCCTGTCTAGTGCAAGGAACCTTCCAAATCGAGTTAAAAGCCTTCAAGGAAGCTAGTGATAGACTGCAGCTCACGTACAACACTCGGAAACTGAAGGATGAAACTACAAAGGAAATCTTCACGGCAGCCATCAAGACAAAATATGAGATATCGAGGAACATCCCTGAAGAAACCTGTGTGGAAGAACACTGGAAGTCTTTGAAAGAGATGTGGAAAGAAACCTGCACAGCCGTATTAGGAAGGAAGAAGAAAGAAGACAAGGAATGGATCTCGACGGATACCTGGAAGCTGATAGACGAGGGAGAGGAGGATGGTGAAGCAGAAGATAAACCAGTGCAAGGATGCTCAAAGACAAGAGGAACTGAGCACAATGTATAAAACATTGGATAAAGAAGTGAAGAAGAGTGCACGGAAAGACAAAAGACACTTCTACGAAACACTGGCAAGTGAAGCAGAACAGGCAGCAGGTAAGAGAGACCTGACGACATTGTATCAAATAACCAGGTTGCTATCAGGGAAGAGATCAACACAGATGAAACCAATAAAAGATGAAGAAGGAAATTTAATTACAAAAGAAGAGAAACAGAGGAAACGATGGGCCGACCACTTCAAGAAGCTCTTGAATCGACCACCACCTGCACTTCTTCCAGAAATACCACCTACATCCGCTGAACTACAAGTGAACATAAATCCCCAACGAGAATGGAAGTCCTGAACGCCATAAAGCTACTGAAAGGCGGGAAAGCAGCAGGACCAGATGGGATCCCGCCAGAAGCACTGAGAACAGACGCAGAGACAACAGCGGACATGCTCACACCACTATTGCAGAAGGTGTGGAAGGAAGAGAAGGTACCTGGTGATTGGAAGAAGGGTTACCTTGTCAAACTGCCGAAGAAGGAAGACCTCAGTGCTTGCAAGAACTGGCGCGGAATCACTCTCCTGTCCACCCCAAGTAAAATATTAAGCCGCATCATCTTGGAGAGGCTTAAAGACGCACTGGATTCAAAACTGCGACCGGAACAGGCAGGCTTCAGGAAGTACAAATCATGTACAGACCAAATTGCAACGCTTCGTATCATCATAGAACAGAGCATAGAATGGCAGTCAACTCTCCACCTCAACTTCATCGACTTTGAGAAGGCCTTTGACAGCGTCGACCAAGAAGTAATTTGGAAACTGCTTCAATACTACGGAGTACCACAAACCTTTATCAGCCTCATTCAACAACTATATGAAGATGCCACATGCCAAGTAATTCACAATGGGAAGCTCAGTGATGCTTTTGAAGTGAAGACAAGAGTGAAACAAGGTTGCCTACTATCCCCCATGATATTCCTGATTGTGGTGGACTGGATCATGCAGCAAACAGTAGGCAGCGAGAAGAGGGGGATACACTGGACGACGGAAAAGAACCTAGAAGACTTGGATTTCACCGATGACTTGTGCCTAATGTCACATAAACTTGAAGGTCTGCAGGCAAAAACTAACAAGTTGATAGAAGAGGCAGCTAAGACGGGACTTCAGGTGAATATAGAGAAGACAGAAGTGATGAAGATACCGCACCACCACCATCAACAACAACAACAAACTCCAATCACCGTCAACGGGAGAAACTTAAAGGAAGTAACCTCCTTCACTTACCTAGGAAGCACTGTTTCAACTACAGGCGGGACGGACGAGGATGTCAAAGTCAGAATCGGAAAAGCAAGACAGGCGTTCATTAGCCTGAAACCAGTGTGGAGATCTTCTGCACTCAGCATGCGGAACAAGATGTTGATTTTCAACACCAACGTCAAGTCAGTGCTCTTGTATGGTTAAGAGACTTGGCGCGTCACGAAAGGCATTTCCAATAAACTACAGACATTCATCAACAACTGCTTACGCTCGCTACTGAAGATCAGATGGCCAGCATAATAAGAATAAGCAACAAGGAGCTCTGGGAACGAACCAACCAAGAACCTATCATGCAACAAATATGCAGGAAGAAGTGGAGATGGATTGGCCATGCACTGAGAAGGCCGACTGAGGACATCACGCGTCAGGCCAGTTGCTCGAGTGGAATCCCCATGGGAAGCGACGAGTTGGACGTCCGAGGGTGACATGGAGGAGGTCGTGCGAGGAGGAAATGAGAGGTTGTGGGCTGTCATGGGACCAGGTTCAAAAGATCTCAGAGAACAGAGTGTACTGGAGGCGTGCTACTGAAGCCCTATGTTCCACTAGGAACCCAAGGGACTAATAATAATAATAAATAATAATAATGATAATAGTAATTATAATAATTATGACGAAGATGATAATGATAATAATAATAATGAGGATAATAATAATGCTGATAATAATAACAATGACAAGAATAATGATGATAATTATTATGATGGTAATTATAATTATGATAATGATAATAATAGTCATAATAATGATGATAATAATGATGATGAGAATAGTAATGACGATAATAATAATAATAATAATGAAAATATTAATGATGGTAAGAGTGGTGATGAAAATAATTATGACAATAATAGTGATTATAATAATAGTGATGATAATATTTTTGATGACAATAAAATTGATGATAATAATAAGGATGATACTAAGGATATTATTGATGATCACAATAATAAAAAACAACAATAAAGACGATAATATTAGTGATGATGATAGTACTGACGGTGACAATAACAATTAGAATAATGATAGTAATGACGATGACAATAATGATGATGATAATGATAATAATAATAATGATGGGAATAAAAATGATAATAATGATAATGATGTTCATAATTATAATCATGACAATGGTGGTAATAAAAATGATGCTAACAATGGTGATCATGATAATAATGATGTTATTAATAATTTAGACAATAATTATTATGATGATGATGTTAATAATAGCAATCAGGATAATAATCATTAGGAGAATAATAATGATGACGATACTGAGGACAATAATAATCACGATAATTATAATGATGATAATAATAATGTTGAGAATAATAGTCATGACAATATTATTGATGATGCTAATAATGATGATAATATTCATGATGATAATACAATCATGGCAATGTTAATAATGATGATGTTAATATTTATGGTGATAATAATATTGACATTATTAATGATGACAATAATAATGACCATAATAATGATGATAATAAAGATGAGAATCAAAATTATGATAACAATAATGGTTGTTATCATGAAGGTAATAATAATCATGAGAATAATAATGATGACAATAATAATGATGATCATGATAATGATAATGATAGTAATAATAATGACGATTATAATGATGATGAGTATAGAAATGAAGATAATAAACATGATCATAATAATAATCACGATAGTAGTAATGGTGATCACAATAATGATGGTAAATACGATGACGTTATTCTTAATGGTGATAATCATAATGATGATAAATTTAATGATGATAATAATAACGTCGATGATAATAATGACAATAACAACAGTGATGAAAATAATGATAATATTAATGAAGATAATAATAGTGGTGACAGCAATACTGATGTTAATATTAATGATCAAGTTAATAATGATGATGATAACAATCATGACAATAATATTGATGATAATATTCATTACGATAATGATGATAATAATAATGATGATAATTATGATGATGATATAAATAACGATGATAACATTGATGATAAATTAATGGTGACAATAGCAATCATTATAATATGAATGATGACGATAATGATGACAATATTAATGATGATATTACCAATCAAGATGATGATATAATATTATAATAATAATCGTGATGATAATAATGATAATAATACTAAGCACGACAATAATGATAATAATCATGATGATAATAATAATAATGACAATAATGATGATAATAAAAATGATGATAATAATGATCATGATGACGATAATAATAATAATAATAATAATAATGGTAATCACGATATTATTAATGATGATAATAACAATAATGAAAATAATAATGATGATATTGTTGATGATGATAATAATGATAATATTAACACGATAATAATCATGATGACATTAATGATAATACTAATGACGCTAATTATCATAATGATAATTTTAATGATGATAATGGTAATCATGACAACATTAATAATAATAATGTAAATATCTATCATGACAATAATGATGATAATAATCATGATAATATTATGGATGATAACAATAATGATGAGCATAATAATCACGCTAATAATGATGATAATTATGACAACGATAATACTAATGATGATAGTGATGATAAAAACAAAGATGAAGTTAATAATGATAATAATAATGATGATGATAATAATAATGGTAACAATAACGGAAAAAATAACAATCATATGAATAATAGTGATGATATTTATACGGATGATAATAATCGTAATATAAGTGATAATAATATTAGTGATGATGACAAGGATTTTAATATTACTGACGATAATATTAATGATGATAATAGTAATGATGATAATAGTGATGATGATAATAATGATGACAACATTAATGATTAAAAAAAAATGATGGTAATTATCATTTTGGTAACAATAATGATGACAATAATAATCATATTAATAATAACGATGATAATGATAACGATGGTAATATTAAGGATGATAATTAAGATGATGACAATAGTGATGAAGAAAATAAGATGATAATACTAATGATGACAGTAATAATGATGATAATAGCATTGATGATAAAATTAATGATGATAATAAGAAGCATGATGATAATGAGGATAATAATAGTGATGACAGCAACAATGATGATTATAATATTAATGATAACAATAATGATGATAATATTAATGATATAATAATGATGAGCATGAAAATAATGATGAGAATTATAAGGATGACAATAATAATCATAATAATGATAAAAATAAAGATCATCAAAATGATGGTGACAATAATGATGAAAATAACGATGATAATCATATTAATCATAATAATAATGATGATAACAATAATGCAGATAATAATAATGACAATGATTACAATAATAATGATGATAATACTGATGATAAATCAATGATGACAATAATATTGGTGATAATATTGATCATGTTTAATAATGATGATAATATTAACGATGATAATAATAATAATAATGACAATGATAATAATAATGATCTTAACAATTATGATGATAATAGTGATGATAATGAAATGATGATAGCAATAATGATGATAATAATAATAATGATAACAAAAATGATGGTAACAATAAGGACGATAATAATAATGTTGATAATAATGATTATCATGATGATGATAATAATAATAACAGTAATGTGGGTAATAATAATGATCAAAATATGAATGATGATAATAATAGTGATAATAATTATGATGAAAATAATAATGACGAGAAAAATAATGATGATAATATTAATGATATTAAAGATAATGACGGTAATATTAATGATGATATTAAAAATGATGACAACAATAATTATGATAACAAAATGATAATAATGATGCTAATTATCATGATGCTAATATAAATTAGGATCACAATAGTGATGATCATAATAATAATGATAACGATGGTAGTAGTAATGATGATAATATTAATGATAATAATGACAATGTTGATAATAATAATGATGATAATAATACTGATTATAATGATGACGATAATAATGACGATGATCATAACATTGATGATAACAACAATGATGATGATAAGAATGATGACGATAATAATGATAACATTAATGATGTTAATAATAATGATGACAATAATGATTATGATGCCGATGATGATGATAATAATATTAATATTAATCATGAAAATAATAATAATGAGGAAGATAATGCTGATGGTAAAAATAATTATAATAAAATGATGATATACAAAATGATGGTAATATTGAGGACGATAATATTAATGATCATGAAAATAATGATGAAAATAGCAATCATAAGGACGATAATCACGATGATGATAATAATAATGATGATGATAACAATAATAATGATGACAATAATAATCATGATAACAATATTCGTCATAATAATGACGATAATAATAATAATGCTATTTATAATGATAATAAAGATAATGCTGATAATAATACTCACAATAGTGATCGTGATAAAAATAATGATGATAATAATATTAATGATGACAGAAATGAAAATGATAATAATGATGATGATAATAATCATCATGATAATAATAATGCTGCTACTAATAATAATGACTATAATAATGATAATGATGACAATAATCATCGTAATAAAGATGATGATAAGAATAATGATGAAAATAATAATGGCAACAATGACAATAATAATGCCCATAATAATAATCATAATAATAATGATATTAATAACAATCATGGTAATAATAATGATGATAAAAATAATGATGATAATGATTATGATACTAAAAATTATGAAAATCGTAATGGTGATAATGATAATGATTATAACATAAATGATGAAAACCACAATGATGATAATATTTATGATGATAATAAAGTGATTACAATATTTATGATGATGATAATAATAGTGACTATAATAATATTGATGATAATAACAATAATGTTATTAATAATAATGATGAAAATAATAATGACGACAATAACAATGATGATAATAATAATAGCGACAATAAAGGTGACGATATTATTATTGATGATGATAATAATGATGATAACAATTATGATGATGATAATAATGATGACGATAATAATAATGATGATAGTAATAATGACAGTAATAATGCTGATAATAATGATGATGATAACATTGATCATCATAATAATGATGATAATGATGATGATGATTATAAGATGATAATGATGATGATGATAATAATAGTAATAGTAATCATAATAACAATAATGATGAAAATAATAGTGGTGATAATAAAAGTGATTATTATAAGAATGATGATAACAATAATGATGATACTATTCACGATGATAGTATTATTGATGTTAATAATAATGATGATAATGAGAATGATGATGATTCTACTAATGATAACAATAATAATTGTGATAATAATAACCATAATAATAATAATAATAATGAAAATAATAATGATGACAATAATAATGGTGCTAATAATAAAGGTAATAATGACAATAATGATGGTTATAATAATGATGAAAAAAATAATGATTACAACAATAATGATCATAATAATGATGATAATTATAATGATAACAATAATTATCATGATTGTAATAATCATAATATGGATGTTAATAATGATGATGATGATGATAGCCATGATAATAATAATCATCATACTGATGATGATGATAATGACAATGATGATGATAGTGAGGATAATAATAATAATATTCATATGAACAATAATAATAATGACAATGATGATGATAGTGATAATGATGATATAAATGATCATAATAATACTGAATATATTAATAATAATAATGATGATAATGATAATAATATTAATAGTTTTCATGATAATAATAATCATGAAAATAATAATGGTGATAATAATAGTGATTATAATAATAATGATGATATTATTAATCACGATAATATCTATGATGAGAATAATAATCATGACAATAATGGTGACAATTATAATGTTGATGGTAATAATGATGATAATTTTAATGATGATAATAATAATTATGATCATAATGGTGATGATTATAATAATCATGATGGTGATAATGATGGTAATAATGATGATGATCATACTAATGACATTTATAATGATTACGATGATGATGATGATAATACTAATCATGATAATAATTAAAATAATCATCATAATAACAGTGATGACAATAGTGATCATAATAATAATAATGATAACCATGATAATAATAATCATGATAATAATAATGATGATAATGACAATGCTGATGATAATAAGGATGATAATAATAATAATATTCATATTAACAATAATAATACTGAGGATATTAATAATAATAATGATGATAATAATAATCGTGATAATATTAGTGTTGATAATAATGATTACGATGATGATAGTGATGCTGATGATAGTAATCATGATAACAATAATGATTATATAATTATAATGATGATCGTAATAACAATGATGATGAAATGATGATAATAATATACACGATAATAATAATGATGATAATAATCATCCTAATAATACTAATAAAGATGATAATAGTAATGATGACAATAATAATGACAACAATAATGACGATAATGATAGTGATGATAATATTAATCATCATAATAAAAATAATGACAAAGATAATGACGATTGCGACAATGATGATAATAATAATGATAATATTAAGGATGATAAGAATGATGATATTAATGATGATACCAATAGAAATGATGACTATAATAATGATGTTAGTAATAATGTTGATAATAATAATAATGATAATGATGACAATACTGATTAAGATGACGATAATAATAATAATAATAGCAATCTTGATAATAATAATAATGATGACAATAATAGTGATGATAACAATAATGTTGATAATATTCACGATGATAATATTATTAATGATAATAATTATGATGATATTAATAATGACAATAATCATATTGATGATATTAATGATGATGATAATAATAATGTCGATATTGGTAATGATGAAAATAATGATGTCAATAACAAGCATGATAATAATCGTGATAATTAGTGTGATGGTAACAATAATGATGACAATAATAATGATAATAGTGACGATAATAATAGTGATGATTATGATCATAATTATGATAATAATAATGATCATAATAATAATGATTATAATGTCAGTGATGATGAAAATGATAGTAATGATGATGGTAATTTTGATCATAATAACAATGATGATAATAATAACAATAATGATAATAGTGGTTATGATGATGATAATAGTACTAATAATGATAATAATAGTAGTGATAATAATCATGATATTAATAATGATAACAATAGTGATAACAAAAATGTTGACAATAATAATAATGAAAATGATCATAACGATTTCAATAATAATGATCCTAATAATATTGATGATGATAATGTTAATAATGCTGATAAGAATAATGATGATAATTAAAATGATTATAATAATGATTATGATGATCATGATCATGATAATAATAATCATGGTAATAATAATGATAATAATAATCATAAAAATGATGATAGTAACAAGCATGATAATACTGACGATAATATTTATGATCATAATCATTATGATGATAATAATAATGATGATAATAGTGGTGTTAATAATAATGATGACAATGGTAATGATGATAATAATGATATTAATGATGATAAAATTATGATAATAATGATGATAATATTGATGATAATTATCATGATATTAATGATGATAATATTTATTTTGATAATAGTAATGATGATAGTAATAATGCTACTTGAATAACAGCAGGCCTTGGGGTTACTAATTAGTTTGCTTTCCAAAACAAACGTTGACCAGTAATTGCATCTCTAACACTTTCTTCCTCGCGCAGAATAAGAGCTAATTACGGTGTTGTATAGTTTCTATACTCAGTAGTACATGCATAAAGTTTACTCTACTTGTTCCTGGTATTGCCTGAGTGAAGAGGATGCTGGTTATCTGGTAAGGTAACTCCTGCCCGATTTTCACATGAGTTAAAATGTTTGTTCACAGCAGTTTGAATGAGAAGGTTTGAGGTATACCACTAGTTCTGCTGATAATCTTCAAGGTTCTATGCAATACACCATAGTTTTTTCTCAGCAACCAAGGAAAGAATAAGGGGCAACAATGAATGAGAATAGGCAAGATGCAGGATTTTATAAAACACAACAGAAGAGGCTGAGTTGCACCAGGTACTCTCAGTTTCCTAAAATAGAAAGTTAGGCAACTAGCAAGCTGTGGGAGAACTAGGAAAGGTCTGAAGTAAAACACGTCGAGATAACCACACTTGTAACACTTTCTAGTACACAACCATCAATAGAACAGGAAGCATAAGATTTAAGCAGTCTACATAGGTTAGGTTCACGTCTGAAACTAACGTTTGTGGTCTGACATTTTGAAGGATTAAACATAAGACTATTCACGGAGGACCAAGAGTAGATAGGAAATTGTTCAGTTGGGAACAATGTGTTCAAGAGGAGACTGGTATAGAAACCGTCAAGTCACCAACATATTTCATAAAATTTATACTAGCTGAAGATAGTAAGTCATGCAGAAAGAAAGACAAAAACTGGGGAGAAGAACGACAACTTGGGGAACACCAGCCCCAGTAAGCAATGTGATGGGGAGCTTCCCTCTGTTTACAGTATATTGTTTCCTTACAGAGAGATAAGAATATAGCCAACTGATTATTCAGGACTGGCTGTGTGCTGGCCAGCATGTCCAGCAAACGAGGTCTTGTGACAGAATCGAATGCTGAAGTATAGTCTAGAAAGGCAGACCTGACATACTTGGTATTTCTATCGAGATTATAAACAATATTGTGATTTAAGACAGTGTTGGAACCCAGAGCTCTTCTTTTACTTTTGGATGCAAATTGACTAGGATCTAAAAAACGTTAATGAGAATTCAAGCACAGGTATTATTAGCTTCTCCATTAGTCTCAATAACGGAGAAGTAACTGCAACTGAAGGGAATTTCAAACATGTGTGGAGTCACCTACTTAGGTACGGCGACTATCTTGGTATCTTTCCAGGTATCTGGTGCGGTGTTTTCTGAAAACGATCCATTAAACCTGATAGCAAATGGATGGCATGAAATATCATCATATTTCGTGAATATGAAACTCGTTTCAATCTTTACCTTTACGAGTAGATCGTAGACCCATTCTACTCCGCTGTAATCGCTCTAACCATTCAGGTTTCTACACCAGTTCCCAGTTGTCTTTTCCATCTCTTTATACTTCGCTAGCCATCACTGTTCACGGTTATTGCTTAGACTTCTTCTTGGCTTACTTCTAAGTAGTTTCCACTCCCCATTGTGCTGTGTGCGCGGATCCCTTGGTTCAGAGGAAGCTGCTGAGACTCACAGACCCTTCTTAACCACTCAGAGAGTCACCTACGGTCTCCACCGTTTTTCCTAGGGCAAACTGGGGATGGAGCCAGACTTCTTCTTGTTCAATGAAATTTTTTTAATTCCTTTAACTGTGTGGCTAGTTTCTCACTGGAAGTAGCCCTAGAATTCACATTTTCAAGCTGTATTTGCAATAGCCTTTTTGATGCATTTTTTCTATTTCTATATAGACGTAGACATACACGGGCTTGAACCAATGCCTGACTACAGGTGGTTGTATGAGCACAGTTACAGCAGGTGATTACCAGTATTTGTCCGCTCGACTGTAATTCCGAAGCTGCTGCCCAAGTGTCTTTCTGCATAAAGGAGCCCGCTCATTTATGCATTGAAATAACCTCCTTCGACAAACTTATCTGAAAGTTTGGATTTCAATAGCAGACTAGGCAGTTTTAACTTAACCCTATACGTACACACACCTAAAAGACCACAGGAACTAGCCAAACAATCCCCAGAAAGTTGGACGGTAAGATCTTATGGGTTCCCCAAATTGATCGGGTGAGGTTAAGTGAATAACCTCACTTCGCCTCTGAATACATTTTCCACAAACGCAGCAGACTTCCATGGCCCGGGATGCTAGAATTTTGGCTGGCGATGCAGATTTCAGGCATTAAAAACTCCGATGTGTAGTTTGGAGCGCTGTTTCAAAAGATCAGTGATGCGGTTTCGTGAACTCAGATGGTTTTCAAAAGTTCCAGAGTTGGAAGAAATTAAAGATGAAGTAGGAATGTTGACCGAGAGACGTGAAGAAAGGTTAGTAGTTAGGATTTGAAAGGTGATGAGTGAACTGAGGGAATTTGAATACCGACAGAGTTGTGAGAGCGGTTGACGCTTCCCTGCTGCGCACAATGAGGTAAGTTGTTTAATTTTGAGGTGCCTGAAGAAGAAGCTGCATTAGTAATAGTGGTGAGTGATAGGAGAGCTGAAGGGATATCTGGCTTATAACGGTAATACATAGCCTTTTTGAAAGTTTTAGGTTAAGCTTTGACTGACTTCAATGAAGCTAGAAAAACCATGCTGCTGGCACTGGAATACAGCAAGATAAGGGGGATGAGTGTGCTATTTGTGGGCCCGCTCCTTTTCTGTCACCACCTTTCCACGGGGAAGACAGCATCAGCATAGTACTGCTGATGATTTATTCGCAACATCTAACTGCTGTTATACGTCATCTCGATTGCAGCGCAACTTTGCCGTCCCACCCCCGTCATATCATAAGACTTCATAATATAGCAGTAACTATTTTCATAACACTATGCAACTGACTTTCCAGGTGTTTTAGGACCTGGAGGGAACATACGTTCTGCAAACATGGTCAGTTGGGTCACTTTGATATGCTAGGTTAACCACCACGTCAAGGTACCAGATATCGGTTGGTCAAGCAACTCAAATTTTGACGAACAAATTGCCTACTTAATAACCGTGGGTGAACATGGGCAGCAAAGCCTAAATTGAGGAAAAAGGGATCAGCGACAGGTAACGGTAGACAGTTGTGTGGACTAATCAAGGAAGCTGGCGCAGAAACCTCAATGGTCATCGCGATTACGGATTAGAATGAGTCTATAATCGATTTGTGGAGAGAACGATGGGTTGAGTATTTCAGGGAACAGTTTGGACGAAGTGAAGAACGAATTTTATCGTAAACTGTCTATCCTCCTACTGAAAACTAATCGTTCAAATGTGTTTTTCGTAGCAGGTGATTTCAATGGAGAAGTGGGTGGGCTCATTCAGGAAGAGAGACGCCAAGGAAGCACTTTCAGAATCACAATCAAAAGAAAAAGTAATGGCGATTGCGTACTACAGCTGTGCTCAGACAAGCAGGTGCTTGTGGTCAGAATGGAATCGCAACATGAGAAGAGGGAGACTATGTTCGAGGTGGCGAACACTCACCTCAGTTCAGCGATGGAGATGGATATACCACTCTATAATCAGTTGTAATTGGATGTGGTTGGTGGAAGACTGTTACTATCTCTGGAGTGTATGTTTGGACAGTGATCAGGCGTTGGTGCAAGCACGTGTTTGTGTGCGTTTAAGTGGACTTATACAAACTACAGCAACAATACCGTTACGAGTGCAGCTTTACAATTTGAATACTAAGGTTAGTTCCAGTGAGAAGCTAGCTACACAGTTACCAGAACCGAAGTAATTCTCTCAACTAGAAGAAGTCTGGCACCATCCCCAGCCTCCTGTGCAAACAGCGCTGAAGACCGTAGGCGACACTCAGAGAACGGTTGAGAAGTGCGAGTGGATCTCAGCAGCCTCTTCTGAGTTAATGAAGAAGTCTAATCAGTGGCCATGAGCAGTTGTGGGTAGCAAATTCTAGATGTGGAAAGGAACTGATTCAGAGACCTCAATGTTCAGCGTGATCACGGTGGAGTAGAATGGGTCTATGATCCACTCGTGGAGAGAATAAATGGGACCATATGTTGGACACTTCGACTGACATCATGCCACTTATTCGCTTGTCCACTATCCAATCATATCCTGAGTGGAACGCTGAAATAGAGCCTCCAACCCTTGCGGACATCGAGTAGGCTGTTTGTTGCCTAGAATGAAGAAGTGCGATGGATTCAGATGCACTATGACCAGAGTTATTTGCGGGCGGTGATGGAGGACTATTGGTTAAACTAACTGGAGTGATACCTATCGAATGAGAGTCAGAAAGTGGTATCTCTGACTAGTCTCAATCACTGATTGTCCCGGCCTTCAAGAGAACAGAGAAGGCCTTCTGTGTTAACCACAAACGAATCAGTTTGATGAACATAACGTCGAAGATCCTATGTTCCATGATAACTGGAAGACTAAGTGGAACAAGGGAACAGCAGACCCATTAAAACCAGACAGGTTTAAGACCAGGCTGCGGGTCTATCAAACAAACCTTCATCCCCCGCCAAGTACTGGAATACAAACACACACCCCGGAACATGATGACATATTTATTCATTGACCTACAGACTGCCTTCAATCCCGTTAACCGAGAGTTTTCAAAACAGTGTCTCTCACTAAAATGATTGGCTGGTAAT